ATTTGTCAAACCCGTAACCTTCCACACTGACCATACTCCTGAATTTTATATGCTTCTCTAATCCCTAGCCATTTACCTTCAAAATCTTCATTGTTGGATCATTGGAAAGTCATGACACATTTTTACATAGAAAAATACATCATGACTTTTCTGACAACCCAATAGAATGTTCATTTTCATAATCTTGACATGATTGGCTTTTATATTTGGGATTTATTTTTAATAACCATAGAACAGGCTAGCTCACCACATTAGCCTCTAGTAATTTGACAATCTCTATCAAAATCATGATAGTGAGACCAGCAGTTAGCATAATGGCTATGTCGCTGGAATCCTATGTATTCGACCGCGGTTAGTCCTGGACCTGGTGGCTTAAACTCACGCCAGGCGCGTGTGCATGCATGCCCAAGATGAGAGGAGAATGCATGAGAAGGGATTACAGTGTGGTCATCTCCCATGGGGAGTGATTTCTCACCTTCTGTCTCTCTCTCTCTCTGTCTTTCTGGAGAGTGCACATGCCCTATAGCAAAAACCTCTCCAAAAGAAAAAAGAAAAAAAAATCTTGATAGTACATATCCACTTCCATTTCGAGGAGTTTATCTCATATATACATATATACACCTATTTATGAGATAAATGTATACATTGCATGTATAAATCATATACATGTATAAGCCATATACATGAAATATGAAAATAATATATGAATAATGTTATTTACTGTAAAATTGCTGGAGAAACAAAATATTAGAAACTGGGACAGCCAATATCCAAATACATGTTTCAAATTCTGAATCCAGCAGCTTGAAAAACATGCTGCATCCATATGCCCAAAATCCTGAAAAGAGAAATAGAGAAGGGATTGTGGCATGGCCATCCTCCCATGGAGGGATGCTTTCTTCCTTTTTTTCTCTAGCAAAGTAACTAGATAGATAGACAAATAGAAAGATATATCTATAGATCGATATAGATATCTGAAACAAACTAAATGTTCAACAGCTGATAAGCACTTTCATTGTGATAAACTGTTGTTAACATCACAGTAACCAGCAAAACTGAATGCCTAATTCATCTCAAATAACAAGATTAAGTTAATAGGATTTTTAACATAGAATGCTGAAGAATAATATGTCTGGTGATCTCAACTGGGCTGAACTGAGGTGTGTATCATTCTGGGTAAAGTCTCTTCAAAATCTAAATGATGTATAGCAATTTAATGTATGAATAAAAATAAAATATATATAAATAATAAAAAGAAGTATAAAAGATAATTTTAGTGAAATTGAGAGAACTGGTACATGATGTAACCTTTAGTTAATTTCCAAAATGAATAAAGATTCCTATATCTCTTTAACTCTCAAAGTCAAAGGCATTCAGTTTTAATAAGTCTATATTTTTTTGTAGACAGAGTACCCTATTATTTTGCAAGTGTTCACATGGACAGGTCTAAGACTAACTGACCTGAAGAAGAAAGAGAGAGAAGTAATACTATTATTGAAGTACAAAAAAGTGTTAGAAGTTGGGGCTGTTGGGTGGTGGTTAGGGGCACTGGACTCCCACATGTCTGACCACAGTTCAAGTCCAGAACCTGGCAGCTTGCTTTCTCACTTTTTTTTTCTCTCTCTCTCTCTCCCTCTCCCTCTCCTTCTCCCTCTCTGGTTAAATTAAAGTAAGTAAGTAAATAAATAAAGTTAAATAAATAATTCTTTTATTTAAAAAAATGTTAGAGGTACCAGCAGATGGCATAGTGGTTACATCACTGGACTCTCACATGCTTGACCATGGTTCAAGTCCAAGACCTAGTGGCTTGAAAATCATGTCAGTTTGTGTGCATACATGCCCAAGGTCCCAGGAGGAGAATGGAGGAAAAGAGATGGCAGCATGGCCATCCCCCCGGGAAGTGATTTCTCACTTTCCTTTTCTCTTTCTCTCTCTTTCCAGTGAGCTTACATGCCCTGAAATGAAAATCTCAAAAACAAAAAAAACCAAACACACAAACAAACAAACAAACAAAACTATTAGAAATATGATAAGAAAAATGTCAGTTAGTTGTCACTGGCAAAAAACCAAGGTTAGAAATCGTAAAAAAGGATGTGGTACTATTTTGAAAGTATGCTAGGTGGACATTTACAAAGACCTCTGGCAGATCCAGGATATGAATGGAAAAACCAAAGTATTTTCTGATGTTCAGAAGAGTTGAATAAGAGCAAGGCAGCAATCTGGTTTGAACTAAGGGAACACATAGGTGAGAATTGGAAAGATAAACAGAATTTTTTTTCTCCACATTTTATACAAATTCTTTTAGGAAGAGTGGAGATAGACTCAAAGTATGAGGAATGGAAAGAAATTTTCCTAAGGGAAAAATTGACATCTATTTTACAAGATATGTCACTATATTAATTATGTTTTTTTAAGTTATTTTTATTTAGCTTTTATATATTTATTTTAACTTGACCAAAGAGGGACAGAGTAAGAGAGAGAGCAAGAGAGACAGAGAGCAAGCCACCAGGTCCAGGACTTGAACTGTGTTTGGCTATGTGGGAGTTCAGTGCCCTTAATCACCATACCACCTGACAGACCCTAGATTCATTGCATTATTGACAGACATTCTTACTTATCCTTAATTCCTTTACCTTCAACTGTTATATATGATGTTTCTATCAAGTCTTCAAAACCCAATTTCTGGAAAATCTTGAGAAGGCAATGGAGTTTTCAGATTTTGGTCCAATGCATGGAAATAAAGCATTAGCCAAAGCATGTGTGAGAGGCCTGACATGGTTTAGAGAGACCAATAGACCAGCTTAAGCATGTCTACTAGTCTCTCTTCCTTTTCTCTTTTTTTAATTACCAGAGGGTGTGTGTGCTTGCCAGAGAGATTTGGGGATGGGGAGTTCTCCCAGGTGGGCAGGAAGAAAGCACCCCCAATGAATTATGGTCACGCCACAGTTTCTTTTCCATTTCTCCATGCTGTTGGGATTTGGGGCATGAACACGTACATGCCCGGCATGTTTTTCAAGCCTCCAGAGCTGAAATATGAACTGTGGTTGGCCATGTGGGACCCAACTCCCTTAACTACTAGACTATTTGGCTGACACATTCTAATAATTAGTTGCTAACTTAGACTTTTACCCTAATTTATTAATCTCAGAGTTTCATTATGAACTCCTGGACTTCTCAAGTTTGAACTTGGTCTGAAAATCATTGTGATGTTTCAAAGTTTCTACAAAAGAGATTGTGATGTTTCCTAGGGAGACATGTAATCTCCTGTTGCCAGACTATAACTAACCCATTACTAAGTGGGGAAAATGAAATAGTCAACTTAAAATGCACATACTGTTTTCCTTGTAGAGGTCTGATTTCTTTGGTTAGATTTATTCCTAGTTACCTTATACTTCTGACTATAGTAAATGGGGTTGCTTTCTTCAATTCGACCTCAATCTGCTCATTGTTGGTGTATAGAAATGCTATAGATTTTTGTATGTTGATTTTGTATCCCGTCACTTTACTCTATTTATTTATCACTTCTAGGATTTTCTTGTGGATTATTTTGGGTTTTCTATGTATATAATCATGTCATCTGCAAATAGAAATCACTTCCTTTTTTCCCTGTTTGAATACATTTTATTTAACTCTCTTCTCTGATGTCATTGGCGAGGACTTCCAGTACAATATTGAAAAAGAGTGGAGGAAGGGGGTAGCCTTGTCTTGTTCCAGTTTTTCATAAATAAAGCTTTCTCTCATTCAGTATGATGTTAGCTATGGGTTTTGCACATATGGCTTTTATTGTGTTGAAAAATGTCCCTTCTATGCCGATTTTACTGGGAGTCTTAATCATAAAAGGATGTTGTATTTTGTCAAATGCTTTTTCTGCATTGGTTGATATGATCATATGGTTTTTATTTTTCTTTCTGTTAATATGGTTTATTACATTTATGGTTTTGTGTATATTGAAGCACCCTGCATACTTTGAATAAAGCCAACCTGGTCATGGTGGATACAATTTATTAGTATCTTGCTGAGAATTTTTGCATCAGTATTCATCAGAGATATTGGTCTTAGTTTTCTTTTTTTGCTATGTCCTTATCTGTTTTGGAGATGAGGATGATGCAGGGTTCATTAAGTGAACTTGGGAAGATTCCTTCCTTTTGGATCATTAGAAACAGTTTGAGTAGAATGGGGGTTAATTCTTCTTTAAAAGTTTGGTAGTCACTGGGACCTGGTCTTTTGTCATTTAATAAATTAAATCAGTTATTTATTACTGATTCAATCTCATTTTTTGTTATTGGTCTATTCACACTTTTTAATGTCTTCCTGATTCAATCTTGGTAAGTTATGTGTCCAGGAATTTGTCCATCTCACCCAGGTTTTCTTGTTCATTGGTGTACAGTCACTCATAGTATTCTCTAATGATCTTTTGTATTTAGTATTTATGTCATGTCTATTGTAATATTGTCTGTTTCGTTGCTAATTTGAGTTATATTAAAATGGAAAATTGGGGACCAGCAGTTAGCGTACTGGCTATGTCGCTGGAATCCCAACGAGGCCACGGTTCATGTCCTGGACCTGGTAGCTTAAAACACACCGGGCGTGTGTGTGCATGTCCAAGATCCTGAGAGGAGAATGGAGGAGAAGGGATTGCAGCGTGACCATCCCCCCTGGGGGTGATTTCTCGCTTTCTGTCTCTCTGTCTCTATCTGTCTGGCGAGCACACGTGCCCTATAGCAAAAACCTTTCCAAAAAAAAAAAAAAAAGGAAAATTATCTGTTGATAATAATGGGTATGGTAATATCTCTGACTGGACTAATAAACAGTACATTAATGCTGGGAAATTCATTTTGTATGTTGTAATGATATACAGTGATTAAATATAAAAATAAAATAAAAATTTTTAAATGCACATATTGACAAGTTGTAAACTATGTTTTCATTAGGTTACAATCCTAATGCTTTCTCTTTCTTTAACTTCCATATCTCTTTCCATCTCCAGCTAAAAGAAAAACATGAAAAGGAATAATCAGAGCAGTGTGTCTGAGTTCCTCCTGCTGGGGCTCCCCATCTGGCCAGAGGATCAAGGCATTTACTATGCTCTTTTCCTGGTCATGTACCTGACCACAGTGCTGGGGAATCTGCTCATCATTCTGCTTATCCGGCTGGACTCTCACCTCCACACCCCCATGTACTTCTTCCTCAGCCACTTGTCCTTCACTGACATCTCTTTCTCATCAGTCACAGCTCCAAAGATGCTCATGAATATGCAGACAGAGAGTCAATCCATCTCATATGCAGGGTGCATTTCCCAGGTTTATTTCTTTTTAATGCTTGGCTGTCTTGACAGCCTCCTTCTCACTTCAATGGCCTATGACAGGTATGTGGCCATCTGTCACCCCCTCCACTACACCACCATCATGAATTGGAGCCTCTGTCTCCTGCTAGTAATTATATCTTGGGTCCTATCTTCTGCCAATGCCCTTTTGCACACCCTCCTCCTAGCCCATCTCTCTTTCTGTGGAGACAACACTCTTCCCCACTTCTTCTGTGACCTCTCCACTTTACTCAAGCTGTCCACCTCAGACACTACAATCAATGAGCTGTTTATCTTCACTGTGGGAGTAGTGGTCATTACCCTGCCATTCATATGTATCCTAGTCTCTTATGGTCACATTGGAGCCACTGTTCTGAGAGTCCCCTCAACCAAAGGAATCTGCAAAGCCTTGTCCACATGCAGCTCTCACCTGTCTGTGGTATCTCTGTACTATGGAACGATTATTGGACTATACTTTTTTCCCTCATCCAATAATACCAATGAAAAGGACGTCATCGTGGCTATATTGTACACTCAAGTCACTTCTATGCTAAATCCCTTCATTTATAGTCTGAGAAATCAGGATATAAAAAGTGCTCTAGGAAAAATACTCAATAATGGAATTTTTCACTGTGATGGGCATTGCTTTCCCTTGTAGTTGTATGCATAAACTACTCCATCCTGTATATGTCTGAGCATTCTTTCATGTCTGAATAATTATTTCTTAGTGAATCTTGGTATGGCTGTCTCTCTTCTCTCTGTGTTTCAGCCGGATTTTTTTTTCTTTATTTAATTTCCTTGTTCATTTAGATAGTCATGAGGAGTAGTGTTTACAAACATACCCTCACAACTATCCTTTTCTAATTTCCTACTGATTTTATTTTCTTTGTGTATCTATCTAGAAGTGAGATTGATGGATTATTTAATAGTTTGACTTTTAAACAGCTAAATGTAAATAAAAAATTAAATTAAATTTAGAAAAGCCAGATTGTATTCCACAAAGATGTACATGTAAATAGATGTAAATCAGATAGTTCAATAAAAATATATATGTGCACATATTTTATATGACTAATGTCTCAAAAAATTGAGCCAAATTCACATCACTCTCTGCTTATGACTATCGATGGGTTTCTCAAATTACGCAGAATTAAACCAAAGACTTTATAACTCCTTACAAAGCCTTACACAAATAGATTCTTTGCTATCTGTAATTTGATCTCCTACTAATCCTCCCCACCACACTATTCACTCACCAGTAGTCCTGCTATCTACCTTCCTGTTTTTTTAACATGCCAAGCACGCCTTCATTTTGGAGATTTTGCAGCTCCCACTCCTAATGTTCTGCACATCTAAAATGTTCCTCCCCTCAGATAAAAGCAATCATTTCTTCTCATGCTCTTCTTAAACTTTTTGCTTAACTTCTTCCTTCTTAAGAAAGCCTACGCTGGCCATTAGACTACCTTGGTTTTTTGTGTATGATACTTTTGTTGTTAGTTTTTAAAATCAGTACTTTTTAATGGGAGCAATTTGACCAAAAATCTGTCACAGGCACATATGCTCTATGGAATACTATTCAGCCATTTAAAAAATCACCTTGGCATATGATAGAAAGTGGTTGAATATGGAAGATCTATTGCTAAGTGAAGTAAGCCAGGATATAAAAGAAAGATATTGTATGTATCCACTTAATATATACTGACTACCCACACTTTATGGTAGAGAATAAAATATTGGAGGGCTTACAGCAGTGAAAATAGTTATGAATGCTGAAGACAGTGTGGAATGGAGGGGGGGAAGGGAAGAGTATAAAGAAAGATAGCAAGAGAACAAATAGAGAGGCATGACATTAGTGGGGCACAGAAATGGTTTATTACCTGTTGAAGATAACATTTACAGTATTCTCAACTGTACTGGTCTGTTGGGTAAATTCTCTTTACAAATCAAATGATATATAGTGATTGAATGTCTATAAAAAGTAATGAGAATAAGTAATAATAATAATAATCTAAAAAATATGATAAAAAGCTATATGATGATGATGTGGGTAGTAATGTCTTTGTCTTGACTGATATGCATGGTAATCGTACTGGAAAAAGAAATATAATACACTGTAAAGATACTTGTGACTAAATGTAATATTAAAAAAATGATAATAAATAAAGAATTTTGAGACTCATTGAAACAAAGTTTAATGAGAAAACAAAACATTTGATTAGTCAGCTACTGCACTAGGAAGACAAACACTGAACTCCCTTGCTTTTTTGTTTTAATTGCAAGACAGACAGGAAAACGGGGGAAATGCAGAAAGCACAAATACCCCAAATCAGGTATGGTCAAGCCACAGTCTCCTCTCCTCCATTTCTTCATTCTATTGGTATTTGAGGTGTGTATGCACACATATCCAGAGAGTTTTTCAAGTCACCAGAGCTGAGATTAGAACTGCATTCCATCACTTGAGATCCTACTCCCTTAGCCACTAGAGTACAGGCCAGCCATGAATTTCCTTACTTTGAAAACTAGAAAATACTATTTTTTTAATTGGCATATAATAGTTGTACATACTCATGGGATACAGCACGATCTTTCAATATATGCATACAATCTATAATCAAATCAAGGCAATAAATATCTCCATTACCTGTAAAATTTATCATTACTTTGTGTTGCAAACATTTGAGATCTTTTCTTCTAAATTTTTAAAAATATACATTAAATTATTATGCATAGTTACTCTTTTGTGCTTTAGTGCTCTAGAATGCATTCCTCTTACTGCAGTGCAATTTTGTGTCTGTTAATCAAGTTCAAGTGGGCGGACTGGACAAAGGACAGATGCAGCTCAGCCATCAAGGCCGTCACTATACATCAATCAATAGAAGTAAAGTGCCTCTATTTTTGAAAAGAATGTACTCTAAGCCCAGCTATGGTGCAGGTGGTAGGGTGTAGCTGCATGATACTGGAGTCACCTGGGTATGAATACTGAGTCTACCTGAACATACTGAGTATGCCCTTCTGTGCATCATGAAACCCCACACACACCCTCTCTTTCATAGAAGAAATAAACTTTTAAAAAGAAAGGAAATACTATACCCTAATTAAACAAACAAAATTAGTGCAAATGAAGACAAGAAATAAAAAAGAAAACATTGTATGTTTTTATAGTGGGGGGGGAAAGCAGGTAAACAATAGATTTTCCTTAATTGTCACACAACTACTTTATGTAAATTTAATTTCTAAAACAGCATTTTATAAAACTAACACATGGATCAAAATATACATTTCACTTTGCATTTGAAAAGTACCATTTCACAGCACATTTGACAATTTCAGGTTTGTTCAACTTGAGACTGAAGAATTTATAGAGAAGTTAACCTCTACAATTGTTATTCAAGCTCCGAGCTCCTAACCCCAGGGAGCATATATGCCTAAAGCAGGAGTGACTATCAAATGGAAAGTGTGTAGGGGCCGGCAGATGGTGTGGTGGTTAATGGCACTGGACTCCCACATGGCCAACTGCAGTTCGAGTCCTGGGCCTGGCAGCTTGCTTTCTCATTCTCTCTCTCTCTCTCTCTCTCTCTCTCTAACTCTCTTTCTCTCAACTTGAAATAAATAAGTGGATAAATAAAGTTAAATAAAATAATTACTTTAAAAAAAAAGAAAAAGAAAGGAGAGTGTGTAAAGTGCAAGGAACAAGTTGGGGCACATAACTACTCTTTTTCACAAAGACTTCTCTGACAAGGTTGGTGGATAGGATAAAAGAAAAAGCAAGGAAACATCACTTGGACAAGAAAATCTCGCTTCTGAGAAGTTTCCCCATGGCCCCTTTCATATCTCTATTCCTCAGGCTGTAGATGAAGGGGTTCAGCATGGGAGTGACCACTGTATACATCACCGAGGCAATGATGTCTTTGCCATTGGAGTTGCTTGTTGATGGGAAAAAGTACAGCACCATAATTGTCCCATAGAATAGCAAGACCACAGAGAGGTGGGAGCCACAGGTGGACAAGGCTTTATAGATCCCCTTGATTGAGGGAAATCTCAGGATGGTGGCCCCAATGTGGCCATAAGAAACTATAACACCAATAAATGATAGGATAATGACCAATCCTCCAACAGCAAAGATAAAAATCTCATTGAGGGAGATGTCTGAACAGGAGAGTTTGAGCAGAACAGCGAGATCACAGAAAAAGTGGGGGATGATGTTGTTGGCACAGAAAGAGAGTTGAGCTAGGAGGAGTGTGTGGGTCAGAGCACTGGCACAAGAGAGGAGCCAGGATCCAGCCAACAAAAGCATACACAGCTCCTCCCTCATGATGGTGGTGTAGTGTAGAGGGTGACAGATGGCCACATATCTGTCATATGCCATCACTGCAAGAAGAAGGTTATCAATACAACCAAAAAATATGAAAAAGTACATCTGTGTTACACACCCTGCATATGGGATGGATTGACCCTGAGTGTGCATATTCACCAGCATCTTTGGGACAGTGACAGAGGAAAAGGAGACATCAGTGAGGGCCAGGTGGCTGAGGAAGAAGTACATGGGAGTGTGCAGGCGGGAGTCCAGCCGGATGAGCAGGATGATGAGCAGGTTCCCCAGCACCGTGGTCAGGTACATGCCCAGGAACAGGGCAAAGAACAGGCCCTGCTGCTCTGGCCGGATGGGGAGCCCCAGGAGGAGGAATTCGGACACACTGCTCTGGTTCTCTCTCCTCATACTCCTCTTCTTTGTACTGGAAATGAAGGGATTTGGTGAATGTCTCAGATGATAGAGAGTAATGATGGCAATCACAGCAGTGTTATCCATTCTTATGGAAGAATTCCTTTGGTTATCACTCAAATAACATTGCCTGAATCCCACCCTTAGTGAAGAATTCCTTTGGCTATTACTCGAATAATATTGCTTGAATCCCCACCCTTATTCTGACAGAGCCATCAGACCTCCAATGACCAACAAATTTCCTTCCAATATAAACCAGGGAACATTGATTTAACTATGTGTCAGACACTGCGTTTCCTTGAGCAAACAAGATGAAGAATGACCCTTCCCAGAGGGAGCTCACTTCAACCTCATTTAGAATTGGTTCAGAACAATGTCTATACAGCTAGGTTTCTTGTGGATTCTGACTCTATCACTCCCTGGCTAATCTCTAGTAACTTACTTAGTCTTTCTTAGTCTCATTTTGAATCTCTACAAAAGAAGCATAGTAATCTTACACTTCAAATTTACAGAAGAATTAAATGAAGTAATGTGAACTATTGTGATGTTAGAACAGAGCTCTTCCTATCATAAGGGCACAAATACATCATGTAATACTATTATGCCAATGAGAATGTCCAGATAGATCTGGGGTTGATACTTAGAAATGCGATAGAGCAAAAATGTGAGGTAAGCATTTGAAGCAATCAAGTGACTGGTCTAAACGTGGGTCAATTGATATGGGCTGCCAATCTCAAGGAAGATGTAGAGAACCACAGTCTTGATCCTGTGGTTAATTGCTGGGAATGCCTTAAATAGATACAGTCTGCACTAATGCTGCAGGGCAAGCAAAAGCACTAACAAACACATAGTCTACTGCTGGGCTTTACAGATAGAAGAAGCTGAGTGTTAGCCAGAGAAGGTCAGGAGAGGCTTGTTTAGATGTCCAGTGAAAGTATGTAAAATAAATTAATAATAATAATAAGAAGAAGAAAAGATTTTTTTAAAAATACTCCACAACTGCAGTCAACATTAGAAAGCATGCACGAGGTTTACCTTCCCTATAAAGAATGAGCACAGCAGCAGCACAATCTCCATGAGAGACTCTTGTTCTGCCCAACCCCTGCTTTTCTCTGTCTATCCTTTCTCAATCCACAGCCCATCCCCTTGTGACACCCAATCTCTTCACTGCCAGGCTGTGGTACATAGTGGAAGATAAAGCAAGTGGATGCTTGAGTTCAGCCGGAAATAAGAGAGTAAAGCAGAAACTAAGAAAGAAAGTGAAAATTGAGAGAGCAAAATAAGGAGCACATTCAGAGTCGGGCATAAAACAGGGAAACCTCTTCAAGAAAGATATATATGTATATTTAAATGTTGTCCTTTATGTTAAAAGTATGAAGCTAAAAGAGTCAGAAGATAAGAGATTTAGAAAGCTGAGATTTTAGAAAGCTTAGAGATTTAGAAAGTTTAAGAGATTTCTAAATTAAGAGATTTAGAGATTAGAAGTTAAGAGATTTAGAAAGTCAAGAGATTTAGAAAACTAAGAAAGAAAAGTAACCATTGAAAGAGTCAATCTGTGCGACCAGCAGGTGGCATGGTAGTTAAGGCGCTGGACACTCCCACATGACCAACTATAGTTCGAATCCCGGACATGGTGTCTTGCTTTCTCACGTTCCCTCTCTCTCTCTCTCTCAATCTTTCTGTGAGTATATCTCTCTCTGGTCAAATTAAAATAAATGAATGAGTAAATAAAATTAAATAATTCTTTTAAAAAAAAGTCAATTTGAAATTGAGTGTAAAATGGGAAACTCGCCAAAAAATAGGTATGAGTTTAAATGTTTATAAAAGCCAGGAGAAGCAAAGTCTATAGCAAGCAGTTAAAGAGAGAAACAAACAATCAAACAAACAAAAAAACAGAACAAAATCAAGAGAAAATAGGTAAATTATGGGCTCAAATTAGAAAAAGAAAAGAGGGGAAATGCAGGAAGTGCCTTGAAGTAAATACAGTCTTGGTGCTAATGCTGCAGGGCAAGCAAAACTCTTACAAAGACTTAAAGACTTAATCTACTCCTGGGCTTATGGATAGAAGAAAGCTGAGTGTTGACCAGAGAAGGTGAGGAGAGACTTGTTTAGATACCCCACAACTGCAGTCAATAATAGAAAGCACATGGCTTTACCTTCCCTATAAAGAATGAACACAGACAACTCATGGCTGCAGTGATCTCCATCAGAAATGCCCAGTCCATCCGGCCCTGGCTTTTCTCTGTCTATCCTTTTTCAATCCACAGCGCTTCCCCTCAGGGCACCCAGCTCTTTGCTGCTAGGCTGCAGCAGTTAATTTTCTAGCATGACTTAGCTTGGTACTATTACTTAATTTGAAAGAAAAAAAAAGTATACCCATCTCCACTGTTGTCCATTTATCTCCAACTATCTTCCATGAACCAAATTGGCTTAAATTTGAGTGTTCATATGCAGTAAATCACCTGGTTATTTGCCTTAGGACTTGAGAACTGGTAGATGCTCTGAGATTAATGATGCCTATTAAAATTGTTAGTTACTTGATTAGCATGATTACTCCACAATATCAGTCTTAATATAATTGACATTTATGGAACATACACTTTATTATGTGCCTGACATAATGAAAGGATGTTTACAAATACCCTGTGTGTCAGTGCATGTGTGCATGTATGAGTTCACTGAAGCTGAGAGATATTAAGAAAACAGCCCAGGGTCACAAAACCAGTAACTGTTTTCTGCTGGAATCACCATTCTTTACTCATTCCATTTTTTTTAAGAATTATTTAACTTTATTTATTCACTCATTTATTTTGACTTGACTAGAGAGAGAATCACAGAAAGAGGGAGAAAGTGAGAAAGCAGACCACCAGGTCCAGGACTAGAACCGTGGTAGACCATGTGGGAGTGTCTAGTGCCTTAACTGTCATGCCACCAGCTGGCCCCTCATTCCATTTTTATTAACTCTCTGCTCCTATTAATCATACCCTTTTTTCTCCCTATTTAATCAAGCAGAAGAGCAACATTTAATAGAGAATTTCTATATCCAATATTACCTCAACCACCAGCTCAGATCTCTGCCCAACACTCACATTCCTATAGCCCTTTATAGTTTGCAATGACTTTCTATATTTCCAGTTACATGAAATCAATATTGATTTTGTGCCTGGGAGAGGGAAGACAGTGACTTTCTGTTTCATTCTCCTAACATGGGAAGTGATGTCCCTGACATAATGTACTTGGGTAAAACCTAATCTCAAAGGCAGATCTACTGATGTTCTTTCCACTAGAGAGAGACACTCTTGCTTCTTTGGGGAGGAGGAAGAAGAATGACTAATAGAGTTAAATATCCATATGCTTGGAAGAGGAAACTAACATTACCACATGGGTGTTTATTTCTGATCATAGATTCTCGTTACAGACCAAGGTGATTCTCAGGGACACTAGGACACCAAGAGGAGGGAGATGACTTTATTCCTCTACTGAGTCCTGTGCTCTCATAGACCAGGGGAGCTTTGGCTTCTACGGGGGTGGAGGGCAGAATGAGGGGGGCAGAAATCCTTGTATAAGTACAATGCTATGATGTCAAGGAATGAGCCAGCAGGAAGGGAAACTTCATTTTGTAGTTAAACAATAGGATGACCTGTACTCGGTACTGAAGTTAGCACCTGCGGTTTGAGAAAGCATTCTTGCATGGATTTGTTGTTCCAACTGATACAACATGTTCTCCCACATAGAGTTAGGAAGTGAATGGAGAGACAGATAGCTTAGCCTCCATTTGAGGAATAACTACAAAGTTAGCTATTAATTACTGGGTAAATGGTATTTACTATGGGCCTATAATAAATTAAACTGCTTACAAGTCAAACAAGGAAGCACAGATGTTAGGGCACCATTGTGCAATGCTGGAGCCATATGGGAGGCCTGGGTTTAGATCCCAGGTCTATCTGAACATACTGTGCACAGCTGTACATGATCCTGACTAGCTGGGAAGCTACAGGAAGGATCATGGCATGGCAAAGCCCTGGTGAGGATGCCTGTCTCTCGCTCATGAAAAAAATAAACTTTTTTTTTAAAAAAAAAACCTACTTACACAAATATATAAGAAACAAGAAATGAATAATCACTTGTTGAAGATAACATGTATGATAATGTCTTTGATTAAGCCAATATACAGTGGATTCTGGATGGGAAAACTCATTTTGTATGCTGCAATGATATATAGTGAATAAATGTAAAACAAATACAAAAAAAACTGCTTTCAGATAATATAGCAGATATTTTTCAATTAATTTTTACTTACATTTAATCACTGTATATCTTTACAGTATACAACATGGTACATTCATGTTTGGAACAACATGGTTTTTCCCAGCATGAATACGGTGCATACTAGTTAAGTCAAAGACATTACCATATACATTATCATCAATAGATAATTTTTGTGTCAATTAAATGTTTTGTTTTTTCCCCTGATCTCATTGGTGGGATAGCAGCTATTATTAACCTATTATACTTTTTGTTTTTTGGAGAGGTTTTTACTACAGCATGTGTGCACTTGCCAGAAAGACAGAGAGTGACAGAAAGCAAGAAATTACCCCCCTGCGGGGAATAGCCACACTGCAATTCCTTCTCCTCCATTCTCCTCTTGGGATCTTGGGAATGCACGCACACACTCCCAGCATGAGATTAAGTCAGTAAGTCTGGGACTCAAACTGTGGTCGACTACCTGGAAGTCCAGCGACATAGCCATTATACCAACTGCTGCAATATCTATCCTATTATACATTTAAGGCTGCAGACTCCTGGCCCCTTCTGACCTATACTAATCCTTAATAAGCTCGGATACCTTCAACTCTGTGCCTCAGAAATCAAACATAGGCCAGAAATTTATTGCATGGACTCATCCAAATTCCTGGGCACAAGAGCCTAAACAATTATCCAGACTATCATTCTCCCAAAGTGTAAAAGTGGACAAAGATAGAGACCCGAGGGAAAATGTTTAGTGCCCTAGAAGCATTAGTAGAACAGTCTAATCACAAGTCCAGTGGCCCCGACAAGGCTCAAGAAAGATCCAATTTGAAGGTGCC